TGTTCTTGAACGATTCGTTCATTTTGAACGAATCTTAATGTGACTCAGGAAGAACGAGTCGTCTCGGGGAGTGATCCTAGAGGTTCTGTACTGGAATTAGTCAAGTAGTTCACCTGGTTCGAGACATCGGGTTTTTCCGAGTCGTTCGTTCATCACGTGACAGCCCCATAAGTTTAACCAATGGACTTGTCAACTCGTAAGTAGGAACATCCCAGGAAGACGCAGAACTGAACGACGACAGCGAACAAGAGGGAGAATGTGAGCACTGTGTGCTCAGGCGCTGCCGCAGCCGTTCTCGGCGCCGTCAAAATAAAAGTCCCGCCTCGAACACATCGGCCAAACAGAAAAACTTATCAGCTGATGCCGATATTTGAAAAATGCCAGATATCGGCCTTGGCGATATATCGGTCGACCACTACTTCTGATGCTCAACAACTTCCCCATAACAGTACTGGAGTGGCATATACATTTTTGTTGTTGTTTCTCTTGGCAATGGAGTCAAATCCATGTCACATATATTCAAGTATTGTAAGGTACTGTAAAAGAAGAATGTTTCACAAAAAGTATTGAGCAAAGGTTTTGCAAACAAAAACAAAGAATCACAAAATTTAAATAAAATAGAGAAAAAAATTAAGTTATAATTGCAAAAATCAGTGACTGCTGTAAAAGAAGCTTAAGAACTTTGATCCTTTTTGATCTCTTTAACAGATTATTAGCAGAAATAATTATATGGGATTACCTAGAAGAATGTACATTAACAGCAAGCTTTGTATAAGATATCTAGCAGAGAGATAAGAGAGATAATAGAGGATATGAGCTTAATGAAACACCTGGTTTTGAAATATTAAAGACAAAACACATGCACATTTGTTGCAATCATTTTACTTTTTATTTGTTATACAGTCTATTTCAAAAGACATAATGTAACATCTATTCATTTACATTTTGCATAGTATGTAGTTTACAAATGTCATAATCAGTTGTTCTTTTGAAATACTTTACTGTTTTGCAAATAAACACAGCAAAAAGAGAAACATCCTCTCACATTCAACTGCTTTTATTATGTCAATATCAAAAGTAGCAGAGAGTATCTGGTGTGGCCACCAAGTGCTTTAAGTACAACAGTGCTTCTCATCCTCATGGACTGAACCAGATTAGCTTGTTCTTGTTATGAGATGTTACCCCACTAAACCAGCAAGGCACTTGTAAGCCACAGCAACTCAGTAAAAGGCTTTTTTATTGTCCTAAGTTATTGTAACTGTGTTACTTAAGACTGTTCCACAGGTGGAATAATTGTTTATGGTTCATTGAAAAAACATGAAAAACATTGTTTTAACCCTTCCTAATAAATATCTGTAAAGGTTATTTGGATTTTACAAAATTATCATTTTTTAAAATACAGTATCCCGAAAAAGGGACATTTTTTATTTTATTTATTTTTTATTTTTTTATTTTTTTAGTTTATTTGTTGCATGGATTTGGTTCCATGCTTGGCTTCTTTTAACTCAAACTCCACACATGCCATCCTCAACAAATCCACACACACATCCTCACGACAGAAACTATTAATAAAGGTATCTCTTCTTTGTTTTTATAGAATAGCTCAGCCATTCTGAAGTGGCCTGATAATGGACATAGATTTGTAAATGTTCTGGCTTTGCTTAGGTTTTGTTTTCACACCTACTGTTTTAACATTTCTGTCTTTGTGTCCATACAGGAAGCTCTTAGATATTTCAATCAAACCACCAAACTGAGGGAACTTCTGGAGTTTGCACAGAATTATTTACAGACAGATGACGAGGTAAACCCTAAGTGTGTTATTTAATAGCATAGTACAGTAGCTAAATAAAATAACCCTAAAATAAGTCAACTATATTTCTTGAATGGTAAATGCAGTGGTGTGTGGTGGCCTGTGTAGTTTAGTACAATCCCACTTTGTTTTAGGTTGATCTTGGATTGACTTTTCCAAGCCAGTCAAACAAAGATATACACACGCACACACACACACACACACACACACGCACGGCTTGAATTGTCTTTTAAAAGCAGAGCAGGTCAAAATGAAGTAGTTATAATATTCACATTGTGCATATCTAATTAGCAGTATTTTTCCTTATCTCTGTCAGCTTGCAACACATATCTATTTGTTAACGTCACACAGTGCATGTTCTAACTAGAGTTAAGCCAGTCGACATGGTAGCCCAAGGCACACATACAGCTCTGGAAAAAAGAGACCACTGCAAAATGATCAGTTTCTCTGATCTTAGTATTTATAGGTATGTGTTTGAGTAAAATTAACATTTTTGTTTTATTCTATAAACTACTGACAACAGTTCTCCCAAATTCCAAATTAGCATATTGTTATTTAGAGCATTTATTTGCATAAAAGGACAACTGGTCAAAATAACAAAAAAGATACAGTGTTTTCAGACCTCAAATAATGCAAAGAAAACAATTTCATATTCAAAACTGTTTTATACAACACAATACTGTGATGTTTTAGCTTATAGGAAGAGTTCAGAAATCAATATTTGGTGGAATAACCCTGATTTTCATACGTCTTGGCATGCTCTCTACCAATCTTTCACATTGCTGTTGGGTGACTTTATGCCACTCTTGGTGCAAAAATTCAAGCAGCTCGGCATTGTTTGATGGCTTGTGATCGTCCATCTTCCATATCACATTCAAGAGGTTTTAAATGGAGTTCATGTCTGAAGATTGTGCTGGCCATGATGACAGGGTCTTGACCTGGTGGTTCTCCATCTACACCTTGGTTGACCTGGCTGTGTGACATCAGAATCAGAATCAGAATGAGCTTTATTGCCAGGTATGTTTACACATACGAGGAATTTGTTTTCGTGACAGAAGCTTCCACAGTGTAACAGAATGACAGTGACAGAACAAAAACCAAAAAAACACAGATAATAAAAAATAGAACAAGTAAATAAGGAATAAAAATATATAAATTGACAATTACTAGCCTTTCTCTCTCCCCTCCAGCTAGAGTTGATATTCTTCCCTGCTATGACTAATTGGCTGAGAGAACAGCCTGCTACAAAGAACTCAAAGCCCCTAAATGACCCCGTGGGACCCTGGATGGATGGACAGACAGAAGAGAGGAGTGTAAGGTCCTGCAGGCTCGTGCCAGGCTCTGCTCTGAGAGTGAATAAAGAGTGTGTGTGTGTTTGTCTGGCGGCTGCACAGGACCCACAGCTGTTTTCAAGCGTCTGCAGAGAGCCCCAAAGCTGCCCGTGGAACAATGGAGATGGAGCATTGTCCTGCTGGAAAAACAATCCTCAGAGTTGGGGAACATTGTCAGAGTAGAAGGAAGCAAGTTTTCTTCCAGGCTTGATTCGTGTGCCCTCCACAAAGACGAATATACCTGATTCCAGCCTTGCTGAAGCTCCCCCAGATCATCAGCAATCCTCCACCAAATTTCACAGTGGGTGCGAGACACTGTGGCTTGTAGGCATCTCCAGGTCTCCGTCTAACCATTAGACGACCAGGTGTTGGGCAAAGCTGAAAAACTGGACACATCAGAGAAGATGACCTTACTCCAATCCTCTATGGTCCAGTCTTTATGGTGTTTTGCAAACCTTTGTTGTCCCCAATGTTTGCAGCTTGACCTTTGAACCGCTGTCTTTGAAACTTCAAACCTGACGCTCACTGTATCCCTCTGCCAGTAAAGCCAGAATGGAACCCTTCTTTTCCTCACTCAAAACTTTTCTTTTCATCTATTTTGGCATGGTCAATAGTTATTATTTGATTCCAATTACTTTCTACTAGCACTGTTTTTGCCATCCAGCTGGTCCTATTGCAAGAGCATAGTGATGAACACAGTAGTGGTTTTTATACTTTATACTATCATTAAATAAGACTTGGTTGAGAGGATCACCTAATCGGTATTTCATTAAAGGGGTGGTTGATTGCGATTTCACTTTTTTAATGTTAGTTAGTGTGTAATGTTGCTGTTTGATCATAAACAATATCTGCAAACAGTCAACCACCCCTTTAAGCAGAATAAGGTGTGCCTGTGTTGGAATTCAACAGACACTGGAATGGAATGGCTGCTATACATGTAGAAATGCTAGACAAGTCAAGTTAGCGAGATACTAAAAATCATGGGCTGCACATCCAGCATCCATGGGCTTACACCAGCAGTAGCTTGGGGTAAGAACAATGGAAAAACTGGCTAGAGAAGGCTTTACCTCAAACCAGTTAACTTGTCATGAGTTTGAAAGTGGAAGAAGTTGGGTTTACACTTCCTGTCGTGGATCCTGTACCTTTCCAAGGTTTGGAGAAGCTGGACACCTTTGTCAGCAACAGCAAAATAGTCAGGGAATTCATGCAATGTCTCCCTCCTCCAAAACATCAGAGATCAATCACCAGATGATTTGGTGATTGTTTTGTCACTGGAAAGGAATATTAGACTGATGCCAACCAGGAAACCTTTGCAAGTTTTAACAATTTCCAGGTTGAGCTGGTTTTGTCCCGGGTGTGATTGGGTATGAACAGGTAAGCTTTAGGCAAATGAACTTGGTGTCGTGCTGCTTGCACACAGTGCCTTTGCCCTCTCTGAGGAAATACTGTGTGCTTTTCTATCCATGAGAGTCCCCCATTTCTGGTGAACACTGGATGCCATACTACTCTTTCCAGCGCTCGTCGATAGCTGAATTTGACAGAGGAATCTCGTACCAAGCCAATTATTAATGGTATGCCCCTTTTCAGGTGAGCCCGTCTAGTTGGGTTAAGTGCTTCATATGTGGTGATTCCCTTTTGGTAATCCCATATGATGTGTTTCCACTGTAAAGGCTCCCTGTCGGTAACCTGGCATCTACCGCTGGGCTGAGCGCTGCTCGCCTGCCAGTCATCGTGGGGGCGAGTCTCTTGCTTTCCAGGTAGAGCCCACCACAAGGACAGCCCACATTAAATGGAATGAAATTGAAGTAAAAATGTGGCTTTTTCAATGCAAACATATCAAAACATTAGCTAGCTACATACAAAAACAATCATGGAGCCACAATGCTAGCTCAAATTATGCTATATCATTCTCAACCAGTGAATGTAAAGAAAATACAGATCATTCTAAGGCAAAAATGTTGTTTAAAGAGATAAAAGGTGTGTTACATATATCCTACAGTTGACTAGACGTGGGGAGGTTAAACACTTTAATTTCTAAAAGCAGGTTAGTTCCAGGCCTGAGAGAGCGACCAACCACTGAACAACATGGTTCTAAATTTATTTTTCACTTTTTTAATTGCACGATTAAATAAATTACCTCAATATCACTGTGTGACGCCTCCCACCAATGGTTTGAATGGGTGAGACAACTAACTGGAAATGTCCAAGGATCAAAGACGTTACTTCCTTCCAGCTAATTAAAATTGTCAATAGGCAGACATGTTTTTGAGTGTGTCCTGTTGTCCTATTCATTAGACTGATGATATTAACATGTGGTTATGAACTGTGTGTTTGTTAACAGGATACTGTAAGTTCAGAGGAAGCAGCATCAGCTCTGTCAAATCCTCCTGATGAAGAGTTTGAGGGAATCGGGGATTACGAGGAGTCTTTCCTGGCTGAATGGTGGCAGGAACCCAAAACTAAAGGAGATACAGGAGAGCCAGCTGAATAAGCACAAACCAAATCATATACTATTATTTATACTGGTACCCTGAGGGAGTCTTCATCTGGTGTCTTCCTCATCCCCGTTGACTCTTTCCCCGTTTTTCGTTAGAGATGAATTGTACTGTATCCAGTCTAACTTTACTTTTAACTAGAACATTTGGAGCTTTTGTATAATTTTGATGCAAGAAGTTTTATAATAACAGTCTCTCATCCAGATTTTTTTTAGTTTAGATGAGCTCATTGAAACTGGAGACACATCACCAATCTAAACTCTGCTTAACAAAATCAGGTCTGTGTTGGGAATAGTATTTTTACATTAAACCTGTTTTTTATGTCTTTTGTTCCCTCCCATGTATTTCATGATGTGTTATCTATTAAAAAATATTTTTGTTGACATGAAATGTATCTGCATCTTTTCACATGCAATCTCTGTAATTCTTACTGACATATAGCTGTTTTCATTTCAGGCTTTATAAGAGAGTTGCTGACACTGCCTATTGTTTTTAGGTTTAACCTTTACTGATAAGGAAGATTATATATCATAAGAATATGTGTACATACACCTGATCAGATATGAGACAAAATTCCAATTCTGCTGTAGCAGCTTAAAAAAAAAAAAACAGTGCCATTATTCAGCTCAATTATTTAGTGTTGCTTTAGATCAGTTTAATAGCCGTGTAAAGTTCATAAAGTTATGAAACAAGCTCAATCCAGCTAAGCAGCACAAAAAAGAAGACATAGTTTAAGTAGTGTTTACAAAGTGCTTTACGGAAGTGAAGCAATGAATCCATAGGTCTCGAGACAAAAAAAAAATCTAAAGTTATTTCAGTTATTATTTGTTGTGGTCTTCCTTTGTACATTTAAAATGAGGTATTTTTGTTGTTATCTGTGAATACAGCACTTCCTGTAACAACTGAAATAAACATATAGAAATTTATTGGTGGCCTAATCAACATTTTGTCACCTACCCTGGTGTGATTACTCTATGTCACCCTTAAATTTGTTACTTGCGATATCTTTCTGTTTCTGTCTTTTGCTTGCTGTATTTCTTATTTAATGTCTGTCTGCTAAGTCAAAATCCTTGACAAACATGCATTGTGTGTTATCTGTTTGCTGTGAGGAAGCTCCGCTCCTGTCTGGCTCTTTTCTACAGGAACATTTCTAAATCTTACTACTGCAGGGAATTAGGGCCCAGTGAATGGGTAAATGGCAGATCAGGGAATGGACTGAGTCATTAATATCACACTCTCTTATCTGTTGCCCCTCTTGGTTAGATCAAGGTGATGTAATTCTTCCCGCTGGGGCAGGATAGCAGTTAGGATGCTGACAGAGCAGCTCAGTGGACTCAATCTGTCTCATCTGTTGCCCTCACCAGTATATTAAATTTGGAGATATGCTTCCCTATAACCCATAGGAATAGTGATGTCTGAATCTATATTAACGTGTTTCTGAAAAGGAATGGGCATGTTAATAGTTAATGTGGGTGCTGTCAATATTTGCAGCCCGCTTCCTATTTCCTCATATTTTTGTAGCCTCCAGTACTTTAGGCAAGGTTGCAAAAGGTTAAAGACAAAATAGAAATATGGATGTCCAGTTTATGTAATCCTCTTCAGCATTTTTGTTTGAGGTGGCTGTATGATGTCAGTATGTCTCCTTGATACAAATATATAAGCAACCATCAGCCGAAAAGGGCTCCTTAGAAGAGATAGGTAGTGTCTATCTCAGTTCCCCCACCAGTCTCTAGGCTAGAGGTAGTAGCCTGACAGGCAATAAATGAGAAAGTGGCTGCCCTAGTGAAAAAAAAATATGCTAAGTATACTTGCAGCCAGACTAATTGTCAGTATACTTTAAGTGTGTTAATGATTAGTTAACTTGAAGTGTGCTATTTTGGATCACTAGGGTGGAATTGCCATTTTCCCTGTTGCCCCCTCCAGGTTCTTTAGCGAGGAGCCTCCCCAAAAACGCTGATTCATTCAGGAACGACAAGTGACTGTTTTTATGAATGGTTCAGTGAATCCTTGTTTTTTAAAATGTCTTTTAATATTAATTATTGTTTTTTGAACTGCATTTGCAAATGTGCTGATATTAGGAAGAACAGCTCATGTCATGTTATCAATAAAAAACAAGAACTCATATAGGAGTATATTTTGCCCCTCATACCTTGAGGGCAGTATATTAAAACTCATAATTAATTTATAATGTTAAAATCCACGTTATAAGGATTGACGTGATTTATGAGAACAAAGTGCAAATATTTATGAATCAAATTGCATTCATAATTGCAAAGATGATTCTATAAACGAATCATTGCACCTGTGCCAGAAGTGGTCCCTGAGCAACCCTTACGAAAAAGAAGTTTATTCAAGTGTGCTATTAGTATACTTATTTTAAACTAAAAATAGGAAAGTATACTTTTAGTCTACTTTTTATGTACTTCTCAGAAATGGGCTTTATGTACTTCTCAGAAATATTTTAGTATAGTTGCAGTACAAACTAAACATTTTGTTGTAAACTAGTGGTGTACTCAAAGTTTACTACTGTTATACTAAAAGAATGCTTAAAAGTATACTTTTATATTCTAGAAAGTGGGCCAATTTAGTCCCAAGGAGTATTGAAATAGTACACTTACAAGTATACTACTAGTACACTGATATTTGTATACTTACTACATAAAGTATACTTAAAAATATACTTGAACTTTACTTAAGTATACTTACTAAAATAAACTTGAAGTATACTACTTTTTGGTAAGGGAAAGGATGAACTGAGAGAATACATTCTTAAATGAAGTCATTTGAGCTGCTAATTTTCAAAATATTCTTAGTCCTTCTCCCTTCTCCTGACAAATCTGTACTTACAATGTTTTACAAATCTTTTATGGAATTTGTTTCAGCATTTCCTCACACAAATACAGACGCACATTCCTGTTACTCAATGTTCAATCCTGTAACCCTATTTTATTCCTGTTAATCATTTTTTCCCCTTAAAAATACATTTAAAACACAATTGTTTTTCAATTATGTTTGGTCTATCATTTATCCAGTTGTTTAATAAATTACATTATAAAAATGACAAACCTTAATTTTTTATTTATTTTTTTCTAGAAAAATATGTGTGCATATATAGTGATTTTTTGTTGTTGTCACAAATATAAATTATTTGAACTTGTAACCAATAATTTTTTGACTAATCACTTATTGAAGGGAAAACAAAGGAATTATTTGATGTGTTTTTAAACATGCTTTTTAAAAGACGCATGAGTTTTGGTAACAGGACTGAGAAAAATGCATCCACCTTCTGCTAGAAACTTTGCAAAAGATAAATTAAATTAAGTAAGATTGCCCAGTACATTTTTAGTAGTAAAATATGTGTGTTACATCTAAAAAAAAATGAAGTTTCATTTGGAGGAGTTACATACGTGTGTGTGTGTGTGTGTGTGTGTGTGTGTGGTTCAGGTATACCCAAAATGTCCTTGTGGGGACATTTTTGGTCCCCATGAAGAAAATAGCTAATAAATCATGCAGAATGAAGTGTGCTATGTGCCTGTATTAAGGCCTACCGGACACTACTGTGATTTCAACGAGGGGCCTTTACACCTTTATTATGAAGTCACCACCACATAATTATTGCTTGTAGTTATTAACAGCGAAGGACGTGGAAAAAAATAAATAAAAGTCAAGTCATCGTTATTATATGTTTTTATATTATTTATTTTATAAAGAAATGCTGTTTCAGATTTATCCAGAATAATGTGGAAGTAGCCTAATAATTACATGAATAAATCAATATACCAGAGGTATACTTTTTATATGACAAAAAGGACTGAAAGTGTAGAGAGCAGGGAGAGGTAACCTTTTTTTTCTTTTCTTTTTTCAGTGGTTCAGGTAGTTTTTATTAATGTTTTAAATTATGTTTTTGAATTTGGAGTTATATTAATGCACTTTGCTTAATAATACAATTTATTTTAGAGTTAATTTTAAATGCACACACACGTACTGTATATGGTCCCTGGTGTATATAACCTACTTGTGAGATGTAGGCCTCTATGTGTACATTTTATTTTATTTTATTTTTTATGTTACGCTGCAGTTCAGTAGCCTAGTAGCGGGATAGCAGCATCTCTCTGTAAGTAACCAAAGTTTGACGTACAGTACAAAACAGTACAACAACCTGAGTTACCGACGTTAAAGCGTACTTCCTGATCTCTGCTGTTTTGAAAGATTTGGAAAACACAAACAAAACAGGCCTACACATAACCACTGATCAAACTACATTAAACAGAAATGAAGTTGCTTTTGATGAAGAGTTCTGATTTTTTTATTTTAAATAATAAGAGCTTTACTTTACATCGCAAAGTAAATAAAAGGTATTTTTTAGAATATTCTGTTCTGTTTCCTACAACACAGAGATACTAGCTCAAAGCTAAATGATAAGGATTTTGATGTTGCAAAAATGTTCATTTAATCTCGCAGGCGTGAACACACCTCTGTGACGTCATGACCGTGATTCGGTAAGAGCGCGTGTGCAGTGACTGAGATGAGCTCGTGAAACTGTCCGGCTGTGTGAGGTAAGAGTCAACTAGTCTGTGCACAAATATGTTTCAGTGTCTATATTATGAGTCGTGGAGCATCGGTTTATGTGTTTTCGCTTCGGATTTTGTCATAGATGTATTGATACTGACAAACACAAGCAGTATTTTGTGAAAGTTACATAATTAATTGGCTGATTTGTTGTAATTAATGATTACTGAAGCCCAATGAACCGTCCATATTTTAGCTTTGGTATATTTGAAAGCTCTGCGTGTCACTCCGGTTAAATGAGTGCAACTGACTCGTTACATTTTATAACAAGCAATTAGTCGAAACAGTTTAAATCAGAAGACTATAGTCATGTGATGAATCTAATTATAATAGCCTGTCTTCAAGTCTCTCTACTTGGTGTCAAATGATTTATTTGTTTTATGTAGCGTATTTTAGAGACATCTGCGCGTATTATGGGTTTTTAATAAGAGCAAGCCAATAGACGGTAAACTCATCTGCACGCGCGCGTGTGTGTGTGTGTGTGTGTGTGAGAGAGATGTGCAGTGAAACTCTTAAACCTGAACTCATCTGAGCGGTCTGCTCACATTCCACACACACTCATCAGACCAGTCATGCCAAGCACATTTTTTAAAAACTTTTTTTAATATTCAGTTAATGAATGGAGCATTCAGAATCTATCTCAGTGGTATTTTCATGATAACATGCTGTTTCTTTACTATTTCAGTTTCATTGTGAAGAAGTGCGACAGAAGCTTTATAATCAGTTACTGGTGAACTCAGCAGGTAGTCCATAGCTTTACAAACAGTTTCAATTTGTTTAAGATAAACAACTTTTTTTTTCTTTCTTCCTAAACCTGTTTGTTCACATTGCTCAAATTCAGTGTCAAAGAGTCACCGAGGTTAGACAGGCCTACAGTAAGTTTAGTTTACACGCAGTTCATTTTGTCTTTTTAAACCGATTCGATGTTGGCCTTATTTTGAGCTTTGTTTAACAGGTGCCTTTGCATCATTAGCATTTGACCACTATTTAATAAATATTAAAGTGAGATTATTCCCTTAAGATATGCATATTTATTTATTTATATATATATATATATATATATATGCACAAATATAATTTTAAAAAGAGAAATGCGTCTGAAATATATTTTAAATGTTTTTTTTCCCTGAATCTTTTCATTCTGAAGCTTCAGAGTTTTTATAAGATGCTGTTTCCACTCATTTCCACTAATGTGTATGTTTGTGTAATGCATCTCAGAGCATTTGTTATTTGATGGAAGCATCCAGCCTGGAATAGACCGACTTCTAAACACATACTGACTACATCAATGGCTGACTACGGACATCCTCTGGGTAGCAGCCAATCAGTGAGTACTCTGGATAAATCAGTGCTCATCTCTGCTGTTAAACCCACACACTCCCGTAATGGCAGCACAGGATCTCCACGCCACTCACGACAGGTCAGTGAACAGCTCTCAGTATTTCTTTTTGTTCTGGTTCTTAACATCTGAGTTGTTGGTAATTTCCTCTTAAAAACAAATGAAATGATTTATTGATTCGTAACTCACATTTTTTTTCTTCTCCAAATACAGAACTCCAGGGATTGGGAAGTAATATCAGATGCAGAATGTTCTGCATCTGTCGCAGGAGCGAGTATGGCCAATAACACTGTTCCAGGCATTTGTGAGGGATTCCTCATGAAAAAGCGCAAGTATCCTCTCCAGGGCTGGCATAAGGTGAGTTGCATGAACTAAGAAAATATCCATGGAAAAGAATGACCACCATGACTTCTGGTGTCCTGTCCCAATGCAATGTTTTTCTCCTTTAGAGATATTTTGTATTGGATAAGGGGACTCTCAGATATTCAAAGACTCAACAGGATGTGAGTAAAACTAGTATCACTTTTTGTAGTAATGAAATATCTGCTTCCAGTGTTTTTCTGTAAGTGTAACTTCTCACATCCTCAGATTGTCAGAGGCAAGGTTCACGGTGCTTTAGATGTTAGTCTTGCGGTCATGTCTGTGAACAGGAAATCTAAGCGCATCGATCTTGATGCTGGCCACAGCTTGTACCATGTTAAGGTGTGTATATGTATAACTAAGAATGTTAGTAATAGTGTTTGATATTGTAAATCGGTACAGCTGCCCACATTAGCGGAGTCTGAGTCAAATCTAGGTCAGAGTGTTCAAATTGCCAGGCTGTACTCAAACCATTAAAACAGTACTTCTATGCTTCAAGAAAAACAATGCACTGTTGTACTGTTTTTGTTTTGACTATCACAATTTAAACGACAAGTGTTTTGTATTTGCTTGCACAGAAATTCGGTATGATTTTCATTGTCAGGGTTTTTTCTTCTCGATCAGCCGATTTGGCTGCTAAATTAATTTACCAGCCATTCAGAATTTTTACTAGCCAAAACAAATAAACCAGATTATCAAAGTTGCAGTTTTTGATTTAAATATTTATTATCGGATTCTGCTGTTAGTTTTTTTTTTTTTTATGACGTACAATCATTGTTTGCATATAAATCCAACCTGTTGCAAAATTCTCTGATTTCTCTTATTTCCAAATATCTGATTTTTATTTCCAAATAAAGTACAATTCGAATTTGTTATTTGGTTTACGTGTTAAAGATTTGTGGACAGGCTGCCAATTAACAATGTGATCATCTGTTTCCTAACAAACGTCACAAATAATCACCTCCATTGTAATGTATTCAAAAAAAGTCAACCCGTTAAGGCATTTAATAAAGAAAATCTTGTCTCCAAACATGATGACATAATTATACCACAATAATGATGATAAAATTCACATGCATTTTGCACCAGCAAATAAACAGTAAATGTTTCTCAATGGAAGCAATATGGCATGTCACAAAAAAGTATTGGACATGCAGCATTTATCAAACACTAGGGGCTTCAACAGTCTAACAGAGCCACTACCTGAATAACTTAAACACTTTTGATTGGCCATTGCGTTCAAAAGATAAACGGACATATCTTTGACTGGCAACATTGCTCAACGCAGCAAAGAAACCTTTGACGCTCACTCCAACTATTATATTTCTCTTTATATGAAGCATGAACTTTATTCAAGCCACAGAAATACAATTGTATTCCTGAAATGCACGATACACAATCTTCTAGCCTAGGATGAAGTCAGTATGTGCATTAGGCCTATATTTGTCCCAAATTTTTTTTTTTATGTTAATGACTATTTGTGAGTGGCGCATCAGGAATTTAAAGAGTCTCTTGAGTGGTGTCGTGTATGTATGCTCAAAGAAAAAAAAACACATTTTAAATATTCTGCAGTGTCTAACTCTCTAATTGTAACGATTTGTTTGTGGGTGCGTTGACTTGTCTTCTCCTTCCAGGCAAAGAGTGACGATATCTTCTACATCTGGCTGACCAAACTGACTGCCCATCGGCATTTCAAGAAAAGCGAGGCTATAAACCTGCACCACGGGGTCCTTCAAGCCCTCTCGACAGGAACCAGCAGCACTTTGCCTGCCATGGCGAGTCTTGCACAGAGAAACCGAGTGATGGTGGGCATTTGTGTTCATCTTACATTTACATTACATTTAGTCATTTAGCAGACGCATTTATCCAAAGAGACTTACAAATGAGGACAATAGAAGCAATCAAAATCAACAAAAGAGCAATGATACGCAAGTGCCATAACAAGTCTCAGTTAGCCTAACACAGTATACATGGCCAGCCCTCTACGAACACCTTGGCAATTGAATCGCCATTGGCTAGTAAGAAGAATTCCAAAGGAACTCCGTTATTTTGACAGCAAACTACAACACCATGTAGCGCACATAGGTAGCGCGTCAATTCTCTCTCCCTCTCTCGCTGCGTGAGTGTGAAACAAAGCGACGGCGAGTTGTGCGCCTTCACACTAGAGTTTACGGTACGTTAAATACAGGTGCGTTGCACATCCATTCAGATGAACTGAAAAACAGCACAGATCGCTTGGCGGAGAGTGAAACTGATGCGCTCAGTCAGAGAGTGTTCGGCGAGTGAAAATATATCTGAGCTAAACTTATACTTAGCCTCCAACTCACACACTGGCGAGTAAAATCTGAGAATTTATTAGCAATTGGCTAATATTAGACATCATTTAGTCGCCAGAGTGAAGATTTAGTCGCATATGCGAGTGATTTACTCGCAATGTAGAGGGTTGATAGCAAGGTTTTTTTTTTATGTATATGTAGTAAAAAGAAAACGGATAGAATAGAGCAAGCTAGTGTTAGAGGCTCTTTTTTGCTTTTGTTAAATAAAATGAAAACAAATAGAATAAAAAAAAAAAAGAGAAGCTAGTGTTAGTTTCTTTTTAAAGAGCACAAGCAGTTAGTAAATGAATAGAGTGCAAGTCTAAAAGGGGCAAGTTTTTTTAAAGAATAGAATTAGAATAGAGAGCGCTAGAGTTAGAGGGTCAGATAAAGATGGAAGAGATGTGTTTTTAGCCGATTTTTGAAGATGGCTAAGGACTCAGCTGCTCGGATTGAGTTGGGCAGGTCATTCCACCAGGAAAGAACAGTTAATGTAAAAGTCTGTGAAAGTGATTTAGTGCCTCTTTGGGATGAACAATAAAGCGCCGTTCACTTGCAGAATGCAATCTTAAATGCGATTGCTTTAGACCAGTGGTTCCCAACCCTGGTCCTGGAGGCACCCCAACACTGCACATTTTGCATGTCTCCTTTCT